GAAAGATGCATGAAAAGCCACATTCCTTCAGGCCAATGACCTTTTTTTTACTTCATGAATAATCAAGGCCATGAGATGAGGTTTTTATTTTTCCTTAGTCATGGTGGGAGGTCATTTATGGCTCACGCAGAAGGTCTGGTCATCTTGCTCTCAACAAACACTTGAAAAGTTTAAACCAGCTGTAGCTGTGACAAGATCTGAAAGCAAAGCATGTCTAAACCCTTCAGCAAAACCTGCCTAAGGGACTGCTGGTGACTGCACTGTATGAATCTACACTCCTATGGCAGAAGGCTTCACCACTGTTCTGAGACTGCTCAGCCTTTGTGCGTGTTGCTGGGCCCTGGAGCTGTTGTAGCTCAGGCTCCAACACTGAGCAGAGAGGAGGCAAGGTGGGATGTGCACTGGTGCACTGAGCTGCAGGTTCGCAGGTTGTCCTGTCTGGGCAGACATTTGGATAATGAAGTCATGAAGTGAGTTCTTCACAAGTATTTTTGTGGTAGGAACAAAGTGCTTCTATCCCAGAGGGGATGCATGTTTATTTACGATCCTATAAGCAGATTTTTTTTTAGTGCAAAAAGTTACATTCCTCATTTAGACCTGGATTTAAGGCCTTTCTCCAAAGTTAATGAGTATCTGTAATCTGACAGTCTTTCAGTCTCATTCATGAACAGCATAGGGCAAGAGTGTCAAATGTTGATCTTAATGTTTGATCTCTTTGTACAATGTTGTCTTCTTTTATCATCCTTGAAAAGCCTGGTAAGTGCTAGAACTGAATTAAGGGTTTATTCATTTTGTCAGCATTACATCAAACAGGCTACCATTTGCATCATCTTCCATGTGTAGATCATGCTATTTACCAGGAACGAGATTTGACTTACTGGCTCATTAACATTATTTGGAAAATGTTACAAATTATGAGTTAGATATAAATTATTTAATATGCTGCTTTCATATATGGATGATAGTATTTGGGGAAAATGACTATGGGACTCATTTCTGTGTGGTGGATGCAGGACTGAGGCAGTGATCTTGTGTAAGTTTAAGAGAGTTCTCAACAGAGTGAGAGGAGAGAGAATGGAGCTGGGAAAACTCATTACTCTTGGGACTGCCTCATAGATGGACATACAGGTAACATTTACATTTAAACGCAAATGTATACATTTCATTTACTGTACACCTCTAATTCCCAGCACTATGCACTGGGCTTTTCTTTCACCTCATCTTGGGGTAATTTTGAGAGGAGAAGCAGGGGTAGGCTTTTGCCCTTTGTAAGACAGTAACTACTTAGGCTTGGTGTGTGTCACTGGAAAGGGATTGCCTCTCTGATAGCAAGCAGGTATGGGCCTGCTGCTTACTGAGCTTGTATTTGTAACCCTGAGAATTCAAAAGTTCATAAGCAGGCCCAATATAATCTTGACATTTTTGAAGTTTAGTGTTTTCTTTTGTTTGTTTGTTTTCTTTTATTATTATTATTACTATTGATCTCCTGGTTTCTCTGCATATATGATGCAGCAGTGATCAGAGCTTCCAGCTACTCTCTACAGCCTCAAAAGCAAGGTATATTTTAAGTTAAAATGGGGGTTGCCACAGCCACATGCTTTGAAGACCTAGTGTCTCAAGTAAAATATCAGCCAGTGCAAAACTTTGAGTCAAAAAATGACTGTTGGCAGCACTCCCTGTTGTTCCTGAATCTGTAAAAGCATTGTCTTCAGGTGACTGTAAGTTCACGTATCCTGTCTGTTCCTGTGCAGTCACTTTTTCCCCCTTCCCAGCATTAGTCTGGTCTCTTTTCTATTTATTTCTCCTTTCTGTCATCAGTTTGTTTAACAAAATACTCAATTCCCCTGGCATCCCCAGGCCAAGCCCCTTGGCTGTTGTGCCAACCTGCTCCTATCCCCAGGACAAAGACACCAGCAGTCTCCCACATCTTTGTCCCTGGGTAGGGACAGCGAGGTCCCAGAGGCAGCGAGCTGCTGGAGATGGCTGGTGTATGGGGTAAGGATTCACCAACCAACCTGCCCTGCCTTCACATTGCTTTGCCCATTGCTGGTAGAACTGCTTGTCCTGTGAACAAGCAGCAGTCTTTTCTTCTTAGTAGCTGTTTTGTGTTTTATATTCATTTCAAGGTGGTGCCTCTTTTGGAGAGGTCCCTGCAGGAGTCCTTGTGTACTCTCCCCAGGTTTCCCTTCGTTCCCTTGTGCTGCTCTAACGACTTTAAATGTGAGGCAGCTTAAAACATACAGAGGGTCCCCCAAAGGGGTAAATAGTCACTGTTTTATAGCCATTGGCACATCTCAGCCAGTTTTAATCACAACAGAATATCTTTGCATCTGGTCCCAGTCCTGCGAGTCTTCCCTCGGTACTGTGGAGTAATTGAAGAATATGATTAAAGGTAATTATTTTAATTGCCTATTGACTCAGAAAGATTTCTGTTAGCAATGAGTGGAATCTGATCTATAAAGTGAAACGCCTTAAGGATTCCCTGCCTGAGGACAGTCTGCCGTTAGCAGCAGTGAAAGGGATGCAAATGAAACATCGCTGGCCTCCAGGGAGCACTGCACAGCTTATAGAAGGGACCGTATTTTCACTATTTTTTTAACTGAACGCAGAAGACAGGTCCTGTGCACTGCTCCAGTTTGTCTGTGAAGCATTCGGGCTTGTTTTTGTTCCACGCAGTGTTCAGCCCCAGTGCAGTCACTGACTTTGCTGTCTGTAATTGATAGAGCTGTAAGTGAAAGCACAGCAAACTTCTAGGGCCTAAAGCCTGAAATATGAGAATCCAGACCATATATATTCAATAAGGTGAAATACTTAACACCTTACCATTCCAAAAGCAGCATTTTTGTTGGAGGCAGCAGAAAAGAAGAATGATGGTCTCATAATAATAATTAGGTCACCCACGTTGGACTTGGAAAAAGTTGTCTGTATGCTCTGTTCTGCTGAGGCTGCATTGGCCTTTGGCACAGCACTTTGGCTCCTCCATGTCTCATTTCCCCTCTCTATGAAGTGTGATCATTTCTTCTTAGGAGTATGGGAATTGCTTTCATACTCTGGGAATAGGGACCATGCAAATTTATTGATGTAGTGACAGGGAGGGCACTGTGTGTTGTTTGTTTTTTTTTTTTTTTTTAGTATATAAATATACAGTATCTTCAGAATGCACTACTTCTGCCTATGGAAGGAAAGTACATCATCAGACATTTGCTACTAGCCACCGTGGCAAATAGGCTGTTGGAGAAGACAAACTTTTAGGTTGCCTGTCCTAATATTCCTTATGTGTACAGAGTGTGATTTTCAAATCTCTGGAGCCTCTATAGGTCCTTTTTGTTTCTTCCGTTTTAACAGACACTTGGTATTTCAGACCTGGTCTATGCCATCGTAGAGTGTTATACTTTGCCCTTTCTTTAATTCACATTTCATCTCTATTTCTCTTTGTATGTAGGTATAAACACCTTTTTTTTTTTTTTTTTTTAATCAAGTTTGTTAGGTAGGTGCTTTCTTTTGCTTCTATTTTCCTTTTGTATTTTTTGTATGTGTTTGTTTGGTTGGTTGGTTAGTCAAGGCATTTTTAATTATCTTATTCTTTTGTATTTGATTAGGTGAAGTTAAAACAAACTGGAAAAATAATACTCAATGAAAATCATCTGATTTTTCACTTACAGGAATGAGAGAGACCAAGCAAAACTCAGGTTGCAGCTTTTGACTGTTATGAAATTTGCCTTCCCTTCTGTTTGGGAGGACTGAATATCAGGCTCTTCTCTTACATTGCCCAGAGCAGATTTATGTGAGGACTCCTCCCATAGGCACACCTTTTCTTCTACTCATGTAGCTCTATGGAGCTCAGTGGAGTTTTCCCTGATTTATTACCATGTGAGTGAGCTACACCAAACTGTGCAACTCCTGCAGTTCGTCCCCATTTGCACTGATGCAGTTGACAGCAGGACTTGACCTGGATGATCCCTCTTGCTGTGGCACATGCATTGTAACTAAAGCCAGCACTGCATGGCTGTCTCTCTAGAAATGCATGCTGTGTATGTACCTCTTAGCTCACTTCTTGTGTCTATGACCATCTCCTCTTCTGAATAACTCAATTCAAAAGCATCATTATTCTGCTGCGCATCTGCCATGAGGAGACCACAGGCCCAGCATGACATAACTGGGACATGTGTCCAAACCCTGCCCCTGAAGACCTTCCTGTTGTCACCCATTCAGGAGATGCCAGTGAGCTGTGGGAGAGCTCTGGGTGCTCAGCAGCGCCAGGAGGAGCCTGTGCTGGACAGGCAAGCAGGTGAGAGCAGAGATCCCATGGATGCTGGTTGTGCAGTGCCTGGGCTGTACCCTTGATCAAGCATTAGTGGAGCTAACAATGTCTTTTGTCTTTTGACTGGATGCCTCAAAAATGCTCCCCTTTTATCTAGTTTACCTTCACTGATTATTTCCAAACATGGGAGTGGCAACGTGGGGTGGCAAAACGGTCATGGCAGCATGACCTGTCTGCGCAGAACCTGGCTGCTGGAGCTGTGGGGTGGGACAGTCAGGCTTCATGGGACGTTGATGGCTGTGGCTACTGCAGCCCCTCACAGCAGGGACAGCTGCTAGAGGCAGCAGCACTGGGACTCCTTGCTCCAGCTTTTGTCTCTGTGTTGCCCATCTTTTTCCTGTACCCAGGGAGCCAAGCACACCCCAAAAGGTTTTAGAAACTTATTTTCCAGCCCGAGGCCTTTGCCTGATCAAGATTATTAATCATAATTCTCCAGGCCTTTCTCCCATACTGCTTGCAACTTGCTTTTTGTTGTTGTTGTTGTTGTTGTTGTTGTTTTTTTGTTGTTGCTGTTTTGTTTATTTTCCTCTTTATTTCCTGTAGTGCACTGAAATGATGCAAAAGAAACATTTATTCACACAAATAAGGGAAGGTAATAGCTTCCCTCCCTGACCACATGCTCTCTTCTGTTCCAAGTCTTAATTAAAATGGTACTAAAGGAAGCAAATCAATTAACAGATACCTTACAAGATAGTTTATTCACTTACATATATACACATACACAATTACTTCCAAGTATCACATTACTGCTTTAGTTTATCTGTTCACAAATGCTGCTAATGAACTGAAGTGTTACAGAACTGGGTAACAGACACCTAGGGAATACAGGGAAATTATTCCAATATATCACTTTTCTATGAAATAAGCCTTACATTTTGTTGTTCAAAATGTGCAAAAAAATTACAATCCAAATAAATAACAAGATTTCCTTTGCGCATTTGGGAAATTACCTGGCTTGCTAAGGTCAGAACCAAATTATATTCAAATCCTTTCAGTTACAGTTAGAATTTGGCACAGTAGCTTATTCTTCATAAAAACATAATTCTGATATTTCTGCTCTGACAGTGTGACTCAACCTCTGACTCAGGGCATCAGCTCTAACTTCAAAATGTGAGGCTAATTGTAGCTGTTCTCAGTCTGAAAGTTGATTAATGGAAGGGAGACACTGGTATCCAGGAATCTTTCAAGTCACATTTGTTAATAAGACAGACTTTCCAGGTTGGATTTGGGATTTGAGTCTAATATTTGCCTTCCTTTTTCTTTCTCTTTTCTTTTTCTTCCTCTTTCTCTCTCTCTCTCTCTCTTTTTTTTTTTTTTTTTTTTTTTTTTACTTTTTCTTACTTCCCCCCCCCCCCAGGTTGAATAGCTTCTGCTGTATTACAGTACTGAAAAACTGGAAAGAATTCCATTTATTCTGATCAGAGACTGGCATGGCTGAGAGCAGAAACTGGCTTAAAAGGCTTAAAAGCTAGCAGAGACTGGCTTCAGGAATGGATGTTAGATGAGAGTTTAACAAATCCATATGTCTACAGACTTAGGCCTCATATAAAAGTTTTGCAAGATCCACTTTATTTATTTTGTGGTCTGGTTAGTAATTATTTGTAAGCTGCAATAAAATCAAGTAACATCCTGTTTGAAGTCATCCTGTAATGCTGCGGCGTAACAGCTATGCCAGTGAAATCCCACCACATTACTTAATGCCATGTGTGCCATCTACCTGAGTCTCCCAAGTCTTTAATTCCTGCTGGGTTTCCTGAGAGGAGAGGATGCTCAGCACAGAGTCATTGCCGGCCAAGTGTTTGCAGAGCCCCCATAGCTGACATCTGCTGCCTGTCTTTACAAGCTGAAAGTAAAGCCTGGTTTGAAATACAAATATCTGCCTGCTTTTTGTGCATTTTGCAATGACAATATCTGTTATAATAAAGTATTCTTGCTTTAAAACAAGCAGAATATAAACCAGAGCATTATTTTCTTAACTGAGACAACAGGCTCACAGCTTCTGCAAAAATTGGGATGTTTTTCCAAAATAATTTGGGTTTAAACCATTTATAATTATTTAATTTCTTTAAAAAACATTCTGAGACAAAACTAATTTTTCTTCTTGTCACTTGCACTGTAAGAAGCTTGTAACTGGAACTAGGCAAAGCATTTTTGGTGACTACAAATTCAACAGAATATTCAAGACTAGAACAAGAAGGGAGGGATAGGAGACTGAAATTATTCACAGACTCTGATTGAGCTTATTGCATTGCTTTACACTGAAAAAACAGGATTGAGTGGATTTTGGAAATGACAAATTAGCTTGTAGCAAATTAATATTTCATTTCAGGTGTCCAGAAACTTTTTGTCTTGGGTATACAACACTGTTTTCATTTCAGTGTTCTAAAAATAAAACATGGAAAACAGTAGTTCATAACCGACCACAATTCATTTGAGATGGCTGAAATTAACATTACCACCTAAAGTTAAATAAAAGGTATTGATCCTAAAGCTAAAAAAGATTTACCTTTAATGAATGAAATGTTTTCACATTAACACAAAACATGCTTTTCCTGAAAAACTTGAGAAGCCTTGTTGGCTTTAACCTCAAATTAATAATTTTTAAGTTACTTCAACCATCATTTACATAACTTGAATTATGAGTGTGACTATGAATCCTGCTGCTGAAATGTATTGTTAGCTTTTTGAATACCCTGTATTTAATTGATTTTAAAAATCAATCATGTATTTATAACCAACTAAACAAGATCTATTAATGAGCAGAGTTCATCTTTTTTATTTCCTCATGCATTTCCTTCATGCATGCATGCTGTTAGAGACTACAGGAATTTTGGTACAGGTGGTGGAAGCTAGCATGCATTATAAGCTCTTCATGTAATCAGTCAATCAATCAGTCTTTCAATTAAAGAGCAAAGAAAGGAATTGTTACTGGTGTGAGATTCCTGCTCATCCACAAGAGACTTCTATTGAGCCTCAGACCATGCAGCTGTCAATTGCAAAAGGATTATTGATTATTTGTACTTGGTTTTCCTAGTACATTGATGTCATCTCTGAAAAGAAAGAAAAGAAAACATTGCAGGTTAACAACAATTTTCTGGCATTTCTTTTATCTAAATAGATCCATAGTATTGTTGTAAAAGCTGAGCTGGGTGCTACGCAGATGAGAATTACAGGCTTCCTGCAAAATTGTTATTGGAGGGACTGTAGTTACATTCATGAAGTTCCTCACATTTAGTTTTTATTTCCTTGATGTTTGTCTCTTTGGAGGTACCCATTTTTCTTCAGTGAGCTAACAGGATGAATGTATGATTCGGGCTGTGGTGGTAACCAGATGTCCCCTTTGCTGCCAGTTCGGATTCCCCTAGCAGGCAGCAATGAGCTGCAGGGCAGCATCTTGCTAAGAGAATTTCTCACTGCATTACAAGCTCTGGGTCATTGTTATTTGGGCTTCTTCCTGGGACCGCCTTCTCACACAGGGAGCAGCTCCTGGACCCCGATAGTGGCTGCAGCTCTAAGAGCTTACTGCTTGGAGGAGCTGCTCGTGCAGGGCAGCTGCATTGCAGCACAGTCACACTGTCACAGCTGGGATGCAGGAGGATGAGGCAGCTAAAAGACTTGCCATAGGCTGTGCAGGGTGGAACAAGGTGGTTGGGGATAGGAAGATAGGGATTCCCCAGACCCATGTGTACCCAGTAATGTACCTGTTCTGACTGGATCCCATATTTGACCTGCAAAGTATAGAGAAATAGTTATTAATGTTGATTTTCAGTGCATTAATCAAAATAATCACGCAAAGCATCACCACATTAGGAGCTGGTGAAACACAGGAACTTTTCCTTCTTTCTCTTTCCTTCACTACTCTTAATCTGTTATTCAGCTTTACTCCATCTAGCGTCAGTGCTTGGAAATAAGATGTCATCTTGCCTTGCATCCCGCAGCTATTTATATTCTTGGATCCCATGACTCAACTGGGAAATGGTATTCAGGTCCCCCACCTTCAATACTACTTAAGCATTTTCTGATGACTTCGCTAAAGAACTCACAGGAGATTTGTCAGCCAGGGACAGGCTTCTTGTAATTTGTCTCAGTCTTCTTCCTTCTCTGAGAGAAATTTTTTGCATGTGTTTTTTGGAAAGCTGTGCTGAAATTTTCTGCTAACATGAAATTCACTGCGCTAACAGTTCATGTCCATAAGAAATAGTTAAGAGCTGATTTGTATCTTTCTAGCTTGAACTGGGCATAAAGTCCACTGGAGAGCATGTGGTGGGCATATATAGGCTAAAATCAGAGGAAAATCTGTGTTTTCCTGCTTTGCTCTTTCTTTCCTTGTTTATTTCTCCAGTTTGGGGCTGGGGTGCATCAGGACCATCCTGTAGTGCTTCCATGGCTGAACTCCCTCCTTGCTCCCTGCTTTACCCAGCCCTGGGGGAGCTTCCAGGGCGTCCAGAGAAGAGGTCTGCTGGGGCACAAGGAGAGGAGCCCACGGGCCAGATCAGAGGCTGCTAGTGGCTGTCTCAGCCCTCTTTTGCCTCCGCCAGGCTGGCACTTCACAGACAAAGTAATTACATGTAGTGACACTGCTCCTTTGGGTCCAGCAGCAGTATTTTTCAGCTTGCTCCTAACAGTTTGTATCAGCTCTTCCCAGAGAGATGAGGGAGTTGAAAACAGAATCAAAAGACCCAATGTGTGCAGTACTGTTGAACTTGTCAACATTTCTTCACACACACAAAAAGGAACTCACAGGTTTAAGCATGTGATCTAAGTGACACAAATTTCTGCCTGTCTGGAACTGTAGCCATTTTAACAAACAAACAAACAAACAAAAAACCAATTTCCCCCTCTTGTTCTGACTATGACAACGGATCAATAATAGATTAATGCAGAATGAGGCCAATGCAGAGTGATCTGAGCTAACTGGAGTGAATCAGCAAGTGGTTAGGTCTGGGGACGCTCACCTGATCCCTTCCCCTGCCTGTGTTTGGGAGAGAAAGCGGCAGGGAGCTGCTGGGACAGGCCTTGTCTTCCAGCACCATTCTGAAGAGACTGCCTACCTCACCCTAAGTAACTAATTCACCACGTACAAAAGGAGCAGAGAATAGACTGCCTGGGAGGCTGATGCTCCTGTCCGTGTAGCCCAGTATAGTTGGTAAGTCACTTAAAAAGAATGGCTTTCTTGCTGATGCTCCCAGGCTGCCTTCACACAATCGACAATGCCAGCTGCTGCACAGAAGGATGGTCCAGCCTTCTTCAGCACCTTGGCTATAAAATCCCACCATTTCCCTTCCACTGGATGTCCTTGAACAGGCAGATCTCTCTGAAAATTATGTTTGTTATGCCATGCAGGTTTTCAGCCAGGCCTGTTCTGTGAAAGGCAATATGTGGCTGCCTGACCAGAACACGCAGCTGTACTGGGAGCAAATGGGGAGCAGAGCAGGACTGACCCTGGGAACAAGACTGTCCTTTGGGAACAGCTCATGCTTTCTTCTCCTCCAGGGAGCAGTGAAAGCTCACTTAAATAAACCAGCTCACAAAGACTTGAAAAGCAGTATTGCCACCTAAAGTGTAGCTGTTCCCAGCTCCCACCCTGCTCCTCCACCTCTCCTGTGTCAGTACAAGCAATGCGATGCCTGTGTAGTAAATCAACAAAAATTAACCTGTGGGTCAGGTGTTGTTTTTAATGCACCAAAAATGACCTTATTACTTTTCAGCCAATGTTCTTCTGTCTTTTTCTATTTATAAACCCATACAAATTTTCAGTTGAAGCTGTGGTCCTCTGTGAAATGTATTTAAGCTCAGTTTAAACCTGTATGAAAAGTCTTTAGGTCCTTAAACTTCTGTGAACCCCTCAGAAACAGTCCATGGATCCCCAAGCATATGTAGCCTTTTGTGTTGCATTTAGTGATATTGCTCACTTCTTTCAGCTCTCTGACACCAGGCTGTTAAGTTTTGGTACCTAGCCAGACCCGGTACAGAAATGCACATGGAGAATGAAGGTGGGTGGTTATAAGCAGCAATCAGAAGAAAGACAGATTTAGCTTTGCTGATACCTGGTACTGGTTCTTCAGGGCAGAACTTTATGAGATTAAGAGATCAGGGAATGGAAATAAACTGACCTGACACACTATATACATGATCTTAAAAAAGGACTTATAAATAATATTATTTTTTCATAAGTCACTGGGAAAAGGTTTGTAGGAATCCATCTGAAATTAGAGAGTCCTCTTTTGATGTTCAGTGTGAATTTATCCAGAAATTCAATAGGATACAGTGCCTTCTGTGAGTCAGAATATGCAGGAGCTCTGATTGATGCTGTTCTTTTCTGGTTGAGACCTCTGGCATGCTAAGCCTCCCGCTTCAGAGGTCTTGATTTAGTTTGTTTTTAAATCTCTGTCTAAGCTATGACAGCAGCTTTCATTGCTAGCTAATCTCATGTTGTCACCTCTCTGCCTTGCCCTAGTCAGCACAAAGCTGCTTGCTCTGGGTGGTGGATGGGCTCTCCCTGGGAGCAGGAGCCCTCTGCCCTGTGGTGTCCAGGGTCTGAGTTACCCCAGGTGCATGTTGGCAGCAGCCAAGATAAGTCTTCCAGAAACACTTCTGAACTTTTATCCAGATTTGCAGCAGCTCCAGGCAAAGGCAGAGTACTCAGTTATTGCTGGAGTCAGTGACACCAGCAAGTTTGACAGCAGAGACCATGATGGCTGTGGAAGGAATTGCCTCTGACAGGTGTCTGAATATTACCAGGAAAGCATTCTCCTGACTCAGCAGGTTTGGGACCAACTCTTACAATCAAATGACTTAGAGCTATTCAAGACTAGCCTCAAACAGTTGTGCAGAGGAGGAGGAAGGAATAAGGATTCCTCCCCATTTGGCAGCTGTGAAAAGGTCAACTGCAAATGCAGCCCCCAGATCTGATGAGAGCACAAGCGTCCTGGGGCAGATGCTCTCCCAGAGAATGTGGAAAGTGGCCAGGAAGGAGCGAAAAATAGCCAGAAGTGTGGCTCTGCCCATCAGGCTCATAGCTGGCATCAGTGCAGTATCCTGGAAAGGGGCTTAATGAATTAATCTCACCCGAACAGTCTGGGCTATATGTATGTGTATATATAACACTGCCTCTCTGTGTATGTGTCTGTATATGAAGTAGTCCTGCCATTCAAAAATGGTGCTGAAAGGAATTGAGGGTCTGAAGATTACCTATAGAATAGCTTAGTGCTGCTTTTTAAAGTCTGGTGTTCTCAGCACAGTGTAAAGCTTAGTGTCCTTGCTTTTGAAGTGTGCAATAATAAAGATTAATTTCATTTTATGGAAAGGGTAACCTGAGCCAAAGTAACTTGCCCAAGGTTGTTCAGAAGAACAAGTTCTGCTAGACAAGAAAGTGACAGAATCAGGTAGAAAAGCCAATTTATTATCCTGTTTATTGGTGACCATTGCCTTAACACAGAACAGGTATTTACGGTTTGTTTCTGGAAATATATATTTGCAAGAAAGTTTAGACAGACATTTTTGCTGAGATCACTTTTTGTGTCTTTGTTGGCTCTGTTTTTCCTTATTTGTAAACCTCTAATTATTTATGAAAACCATATATTGACCTGATGATTGGGTTCTATAGAGAATGTAAGAATGGGACAATGAAAGGCTTCTGGAGGAAAAAATGAGTGGTAAGGGAAACAACAGTTCAGGGTATATATTGCTGAGTGATGAGAGAAAACATTCAAACTGGTGACCCCAGAGGTGTCAAAGATTCTACTGAATGACTGATTTTCTCCAGAAAAAGACACTGGGTATCAGAGTTTAAAAGGAATATTCCTGGCAGAAGAAAAGAGAAGCTTGTTTTAGGAAAATAATGATAGATGCAGGCACCTCAGGGACTCTAGGGAAGTTAGGCCTGCCTGGACTACTGACAATTCAGAGAGAATGGGTGGATGAAGGTTATGGCTAATTCTTTTCCCTCTGGTGCCTCACTACTGTTGTTACCAGATGTTTACAAATATGCATGAGAAAGCTACTTTGAAGTGGTCTCAGCTTCTGTAGAGAGGAACTGCAGCACCGATTGGTAACATATACAAAGATGTCTGAATAAATCCTGTAATAACTTCTTAATGGGAGCCTTAGCATGAAGGCCACAGCTTGAATGAAATGCTACATATGAGCTAGCCTTGTACTAGGTATTTCTAAGCTGAAAAGTGAAATACCTCATGACTGGGAAACATCTCCAAATGTCAGATCAGTGCAAAGAAAATGTCTACTTCCAAGCTGACATATTTCCACAGGAGAAAATTACTTCACTGAAAAGTAATTAAAGTTCACTAAAGTTGCTGTAGTGTGGCTTAAAACAACCAATGCCCATCCCTGTTTCATCTTCTCTTTGTAAAAAAATCTTCTCTGGAGAAGACATCGTAGTTACTCTGATTAGTAACTGTATAAAAGAGAGTTGCTTTGCAGATATATTTTTAGCATCTTGCTATTTCATGTACTTTTCCCATGAACTTGCCTATAGTACAGCAGCGGTATGTGTTTGCATCTTAAGCAGATACAATTTCAATGGATAGTAGAGCGACCGAGACAGTATCCCTCCCTGGCTGCAGAGCGAATGTATAGTGTTACATGTGAATAGCTGATGCAGTATCTGAGTTGCTGCGATGCATTTCAGCGCCCGGCATCTTGTGTAGTCTCTGTTCTAGGTCTTAATCCTTTTTCCTTGAGCACTGCTCTTTCAGTGACACATTTGGAC